CAGACACAGACACACACACACACACACACAGATGCACACACGTGTATGCTTTGAATTCCACACGTCAACACCTACACACATACCTTTGCGATAATCGTCTCGTGACGCTCTACGGAGCGCCGGAGACTAATCATCTCCGTCCACAGGCCACGGTTATCTCTACACCGGAAAAACCCCACAATCAGAGGACAGTCAGCTACGGTGCACACATTCTACAACACAATCAGAGGACACTCAGCTACGGTGCACACATTCTACAACACAATCAGAGGACACTCAGCTACGGTGCACACATTCTACAACACAATCAGCTACTACTGTAAGTCAACAAATATCAGTCAACAAATATTTGGTGCATATTTATTTTCGGAGGGGCATATTTGGCCGAAATTGGGTTTTGCAAGGTTCAGTGTGACAGTGTATACAGGCAGCAGCAATACAGGTCGAACATTTAATGGGGCCGAAATGTGTTTTAGCCCTGGGAGGCTGAAATTTGAATGGGCCGAAAATTTGTAGACTTTAACACAGTATTCAATATCAAATTTCCCCGAATCCAGGGCAGAAGTCCTCCACTGGATTGTGGATACCACCAACCAACTGAAAGTCAGCAGAAAGTGCTACATGAAAGTTCTGATCCCATACCGGTTCATTTCCTGCAAGGTGACCATGATCTGCTCTTGCTGTTTCTGCAGCTTCTCAAGTGAGCCGGTCACCGCTTGAGAGAAGTCGTCACTCCCACCAGCCTTGACTGGCGGAGCAACAGGAACAGCAACAGGAACAGGCTGTGGGCTCGTCTTCACCGCCGAAGCAGCAGTCTGCAGTGAACAAAAACAAACATGCGGTTATTTTTTGTCTTGAGCTCTTCAGGTCTGGGAATATTCAAACCATGCGTGTGCGTGCGTGCGTGCGTGCGTTAGTGCGCGCGCGGCATTGATGGCATTCAGTGGCATTTCAGTGTAAAGTACTATGGGCATAATTATGCTTCAACAAGTGGTGAAGTACACTTGTCATCAAAGAGTAGTAAATTTATGATGACTGTTCTCGTTGTAAACATGCGTAAACGCAAGCCACTGATCAGTATGATGCTCACCTTTCTCTTGATCTTGCGAAGAAGATTAGGGTGGCCTTTGCAAAACAAAGAGTGCCCAAAGACTACATATCCGCTGGCGACGATGGCATTCGTGCCCAGGCCACTGCTCCGAATGAAGTTGTCTGAAACAGGCGGCAACATGGACAACAAAAAACCTTCAACATACGCGCTGCATAGCCAACAATTGGCTACGCACTGCTGGGGCACCAAAATCACCCTCCCAGTACATGTACATTCGAAGTAGGCCAGCTGAACACATGGTGCAACTCAACAATAAGCATACAATAGGACTCACACAAGTTCAGTTGTCGTACAAAGCTGGAGAAGTTACGATGCTTGAAGTACTTTGGCAAGATCTCCTGCGAGAGAAGATCTGGATTTTTGACAATGAACGACTTGCCATCCTAAGTTGAAAGAAAGAAAAAAAGGAAGAAAAGAAAACAGAGCGGTGTAAGGGTTGCATGCTGGGGTGCATAGTCTATCATCTACATGTAGAGCTGCACATCAAATCCGGCCGTGCATAAACTACATTGTAACCGCATCATGCGTGCATGTATCATGGACCAAAAGTGTAGCAGAGCGCACACAATTACGCTCTATCAGCACTTTGCACGGGGATAACAAATTGGCAAGGGCAAGAACTATTTAAATAACCGACGAGGAGACAGCAGTCGTAAAATAGCAATGAAAAATATCAATTGTGCACTCATAACCATGTATAAAACAATTAAAATGAAACAATTCCAGAACGTTTTCTCGTGACTATCATCAGTGGGATATTGTCACATAGTAAGAATCACTAAAACAACCAGTTATATAGCTAGAAGAATAATTATGAAAAGAAGCGTGAGAATGCAGCAGCTCGCGGTTATGCATATCGCGTGTAGTGTGAACTTATGCAGTCGATCTGAGAATGGTCGCAGTAGATGAATGTGGCAGCTGTGAGTGCGTGTGGACAAAACTGGCGAGTGCGTATTATTTGAAAAGTGTGAGTGCTACTGTACAACATTTTCTTTTTGCTTGCATAGCACAGGGTCACGTGTACGAATATAAACAGCTTCCAACACCTGCAACTGCTGCTCTTGCATAACTGTGCTATGCAAGCAAAAAGAAAATGTTGTAGCACTCACTCTTTTCAAATAATACGCACTCACCAGTTTTGTCCACATGCACTCACAGCTGCCACATTCATCTACTGCTGCCATTCTCAGATCCACTGCATAAGTTCACACTACACGCGATATGCATAGCCGCGAGCTGCTGCATTCTCACGCTTCTTTTCATATTATTCTAGCTATATAACTGGTTGTTTTAGTGATTCTTACTATGGGACGTCCGACGATGTTCCACTGATGATAGTCACGAGAAAACGTTCTGGAATTGTTTCATTTTAATTGTTTTATACATGGTTATGAGTGCACAATTGATATTTTTCATTGCTAATTTGCAAGAACTATTCCCAGCATTTTCCAAGTGCAATTTGTGAACTAGAGGTCGAGTTGAAAACGGCTATGGGCCACTGCAGTGAAAGGCAGCGCTGTCTTAGCAATGACCCTACCCTGCCGTAGGAGTTTGAATACTGCCGAGGGGCATGTGTGTATGCCACGGAATTCTCTCCGTACACTACTAGTACCCTGCCACGTAATTTTCCATGCAATTTTGGCAGAGAAAAGTAGGGAGGGGGAGGCATTAAAACCAGCCTCTGTAAATCATTGTTATGTTCTTTGCACAAAGTGGTATTGCAGAGGCAGGTTTGAGCGATTTCGCCCCAATGGCAGAAATGTACTCCTTGGCAATTGGCATGCCAGCCTCTGTACTGAATAATCCATTCACCAGACTGCATTGTAAAGTCACTGAACTCCAAAAAATGTAATGATGCTTGAAATTTGTTGCATGACACAGACCAGGGTGATATCACATACACGACCTCAAGCTTATTCGGGCGAAAGGTAGGGATATCAATCGCAGATGTACAGGCACGGAGAACACCGACATGATACGTCCATTACGCTAAAAGGACGTTCGCCACATGAATCATGAACGAGTTGGATACGGCAAGAGACTCCCAAGCAGACTACAGGCCTGTTGATGCCTGGGTTCCAGCCCATTCATGAATATGTTTTTTCATCACAACACCACATTGCTCCAAGTACTAATACTTCGCACTCATTCGCGACTATTCTCGAAGTGAGAGTTTGAAATGAAAAGAAAAATAAGACTTGCCTCAGCCCAGCAAATGACGTTATTCGTCTCAGGGTCGCTGACCATAGCCCACAGTTTCTGAAGAAAAGCAGGAACTGGCTCTCGTTGTAAGGCGTTGACTTCACTCAAGTCTCGAGTCTCTGACTGCGGTGCGCTTTCACCCAATACCTCCTCCGCCATGCTGAGGACACTACAGGATGTCGAGGATGATCACAGCTTTTACTTCACAAGCATTTACTTCGTGATCGTTTCGACTCACCAAAAACAATTTTCTGAGCAATGTAGTGACAAGTACGTTCGGTAGTAAAGCTGTAATCGATAACGCTTATAATTTCCTTCTGCATGAAAATAGTAAAGTACCTCAACTTTCACACTACTAGTCATGTAGGCTCACACCATTATGGCGAAAAGTTCACAATCTTTGAGACCTTCCACTTGTACTTTGTTTCAGCAAGACAAAACGTCCTTCGTTCTGCTTTTGCCGTCATGTTTACATGTCCAAGACCATGATGACGTAGCGCTGGCCGCTGCGATGGGCCATGGGCCATGGCATGCCCCATGGGCGACTTAGAAAATTACGTCACCGCCAAGGTGCACAAAACGAAAATCGAGCGTCAAACGGCCCAAACGGGTAAAATCGTTCAATAAATCTGGGAAGTCCCCTGGCCTGACTGGTAGTACAGTCAGTCATGTATCTTTATGACTCTTTGCGATACAGCGCTCAACACAGACCATGTTAGTATTGTTACATGTAGATCTACTACCAGCTGAGCTAGCACATGCAATGATCATGATGATGCACAGTCATCAGTGTCGACTGACGAGTCTGTCTGGGAGTCGTCAAATAAGTATTTTGAGGCCTGAGCCTGAGCCTGAGGCTGAGTACTGCACTGAGCTGGTACATCTGGTACATGGTGGCCTCAGCTTTTCAAGTGGAAGGCAATCAAGAATAATGAGCGTTGTGATCACCGAACACGACAGAGAATGAGCGTTTACACTACAAGTAGTTGTAGCAGTTTTCTTTGATCCTCTCGCTCTAGTAGTTTTACTATGCTCATTCGATTGCAAATGCACGCTGTATCACTCAACCAAGGAGTAACACAGGAATGACGAGCCCAATAATTGATTCAATGTAGAATTCGACGTAACAGAAAAAGAATCTGCATTGAACTAAGTTTTGTGTCTCATTCAGTCGTTGCTGTTGTTATTTGGGCCAATCGTACCATGGATAGTGTACTTAGGATTGTGGTGGCAGTTTGTATGGGGGCTTTGCTCACGACAACCGCCGACTCCACTGTCTTTGTGGAGAAGTTGAATGGATATCCAGGTCAAGGGTATGCTGTGGACATAGCACTAGGTACACCAGGTCAGAAGGTAAGCTTCCCTTTCCAATCCATTGCTTTGTCTGGTGGCAGACCGTAGGCTGCAGGACTACACGTGACTACACGTGCACGTCTGTTCTTGCGTGTGTGTGTGTGTGTGTGTGTGTGTGTGTGTGTGTAAAATCTGTGGCTGCACATCCAGTGCATTGGCAGATTTGCGTGCTTCTCTTGCGACGGGTGTATACATGGTACATGGTGTGTGTGTGTGTGTGTGTGTGTGTGTGTGTGTGTGTGTGTGTGTGTGTGTGTGTGTGTGTGTGTGTGTGTGTGTGTGTGTGTGTGTGTGTGTGTGTGTGTGTGTGTGTGTGTGTGTGAAAATCTGTGGCTGCATATCCCGTGCATTTGCAGATTTGCGTGCTTCTCTTGCGACGGGTGTCATGGTACATGGTGTGTGTGTGTGTGTGTGTGTGTGAAAATCTGTGGCTGCACATCCCGTGCATTTGCAGATTTGCGTCCGTCTCTTGTGCCGGGCATGCATGGTGTGTGTGTCAGTGTGTGTGTGTGTGCGTGCGTGTGTGATCCTCTCTGATTTAGCCACCCACACTAGTAGCAAGTATTACCTTCACTGGGGGCAGGGGTAACTGCAGTTGGATCCCAGGACGGATACCCTGATGCCGTCAATCCTTTTTCTGCACCTTGTCCCCACCCACTTACTGAGGTGTGATGAGCCCATATGTGGGATCATTTTTCAAATCCACCCAGAGTTTTGGGGATTTCAGGGGGTGTCGGCCGTTGGGCGGTTCAATAGCCGATTGAGTCATCTTTCTAAGATTCCTTTTGAGTCTCTCTCTCCCCTCTCCCGGGGATACCCACGTGACCAGTTTTGGCAGTGAGCAACAAATACAAGTGTGTGTGTGTGTGTGTGTGTGTGTGTGTGTGTGTGTGTGTGTGTGTGTGCGTGTGTGTGCGTGTATTTCTGTGTGCATATGTGCATATGTTGATTGCACAATGGACATCCCCCCCCCCTCCCTCCATATTGGCCTATATTCCCTGGCCACGGGAAGGTGAAATAAATAAAATAAAATGAAAACATACCCAGAATTGTTTGAGTCTTGAATCTGCCGTTGCTGCTGCTGTTGCTGCTGCTCCTGCTAGCAAGATTAAAAAATCTGTGACTTATAAATCTAGTGCACAGCAGGTGAAATGTCCATACAGTATGCTATGTGTGTCAAGTATGCAGTATGCACTCGCTAGTCCATGCTTCACTTGTTGTAATGCCATGTAATAAAGTCAGTCTCGAATAGATGCCCGTCGTCAAGAGTAGATAAACAAGAGTGTGCAACTCCGGATCTCTCCTGCACAATCTGCAGATACCCCCGCCCACGGCGGAATTTTTTGTTGACGTCACCTTTTTTCAGAAGAACGCGCATTTTGCTGCAGAGCAGTGTGAGAGCACGTGCTGGGCACCGACTTTATAGTGCAAATGCGGCCAAGTGCACGAGGGAAAACTTTCCAAAAGACTCATAGCGCGTGCGTCGTCGAAAAGATTACGTCAACAAAAAATTCCGCCGTGGGCCAACCCATCCGCGAGTTGCACACTCTTGCTTATCTACTCTTGCCGTCGTGTATCGTACCCGAAATCATTGATCCTGGCCGTGCACAGTAGCCAGATTTGTGTACAAGCCGGTCTTCGCAGCACGCTCACACAGCACGGCGTCATTCGCCTGCGTGTACCTGTCCCTCTGTAATGACACCATTAGGGCGAGGGCTGGCACGCTTGCTGACTTGGTGGACCCTGGCTATGCCAGACATGCTACGTCACACGCGTTTTGGCACTACTACTACTACTACTACTACTACTACTACTACTACTACTACTACTACTACTACTACTACTACTACTACTACTACTACTACTACTACTACTACTACTACTACTACTACTACTACTACTACTACTACTACTACTACTACTACCACTACTACTACTACTACCACTATTGTCAGTTCTACCAACAGTACATAACCGCTATACGTGTGCAGCATTAGTCTATTGGGCGGTGGTAGCAGCAGATTTTCACATCCCATGAAGAACCAGCACACCCTGGCGCTGTACATGATGGGCACCGCGTTGTGCCCGGGCCTGCTAAGCGCGCTACTCTCTGGTCTTTGCTTTGCACTGATTGCTTGCGTAACCCCCCCCCCCCCCCCCCCCCCCCCCCTGTTGAACCATGACACGTGATGTGAAACTCAGCTGCCGCAGCTCCGACTCTGGATAGAGTGTATACAGGCAGCTTCACTCTATTGAGGGTGTGCACTTTCAGTGCTTCGCATGTGTTATCTTTTTTTTCTTGCACAATAATTGCTCAGGTTCGTGCCATCGTGGACACTGGCAGCAGTAACTTTGCCATTGCAGGCGCGCCCAACGTCAACATCTCCCATTATTTCGACCGCCTGCAGTAAGTGAAGCTGCTGTTGACGGGTGTGAAATGTGATTTCAATCTCAATTTCGGCATCTGATTGCATGCTAATTTAGTCCCCAGCATCTCAGCTAAAGACCACTGTATGACATGTTATTTTCAGTGCACTGTAAAAAAAAAGAAGAAAAAAGCTTGTAAACACTTCCATTCTAACAGGCTCTCAGCTGCACAAAATGACTGAAAAGGATGCCATTTTTTTCCCCCATTGGGCATCATCAGCTGAGAGCCTGAACCAGGCACCTAAGTTTGTAGAGGGACAGCAGCATGCAGTGTATGTGAAAGGAATGCTGGTCGCCTTATTCGATGTCACAGCTGAAACCTGTCACTTCCCTTGACACCAAAATGTAATACTAGTGTACCTAAAATTAGATGTTTACTCGAAGTACTTGTGCAGTCAAATCTGCCGTTAGCGACCTCTGCTGTAGGCGACCATCTACCGTTAGCGACCGATTTTCCGTGCACCGACGGTTTCACATACAAACTGATCTGTCCAGAGCGACCATCTGCTGTGCGCGACCAGCGACCGCGATTTCATGCACGGTGGCTGCATTCAAATCTGCTGTAAGCGACTGCGACCCAGGTTCAGTCAGGTGCGACACTGTACTTGCCAGTGCGCTGTCAGCTGCAAGGTGTGAAAATGCGCTGTCTTGCAAGTGCGATCGACTGGCCCTGGCCTGTGCTGAGGCTGCGCTGTAGCCCTCAAGTCCAGGCAGTGTCGATCTACTAATCACATTATTCTCGTCGATTTGAGTACATGGAAGCATATATGCATGCCTGGTATGCCGGATTTACCATACATCTGCCATACGAGACCATCTGTCGTAAGAGACCACTTTTTCTTGCACCAAGGGGCGGTCGCTTACGACAGATTTGACTGTAATCATTATACAGTAGATGTTGTGATACTTTTTTTTTCTACGTACACTGTATTAATTAAGAAAAGCATAATTATGATGCATGTCCGCTGTCCAGTGTGTCCCCACTCATTTGCATGTGCCATGTGCTGCCTGCTGTGCGTGCAGATCATCATCGGTGCAGTGTGAGGCACGCCAGGCCAAGGCAGACTACCAGTTTGGCTCGTGGCAGGGCACGATCTGCCAGGACGTGGTGCAGTTCGGCACGACCGATCTGTCGACGTACGCTTTTGTGACCCTGATCGACCGGAGCAGCAACTTCTACATCAGGAATGCCACGTGGCAGGGGATTCTCGGTCTGGCGTATGACTCCCTGGCCTTGGTGAGTGAATCCTCTGTACTGTGGCGTTGTGAATGATGTATGGTAAATGTATGGTTTACGAGGCAAGAGTGGCATTTTTATCTTATACTACTGTACTGCGTAGTTGTTCTTACTGCGATACTGCACGTTCCAACAATAATGATAATGCCTTTTGTTGGCTCTTCTGCCTGGATTTCATTGGCAGGTGCGTTAAGCCCATGGATCCTTCCATGAGTGACATGCGACACGTGAACTGTAACTATTATTATTACTACTGTACTTGTACTGACCCTTGCCTGTCGTCATCGCTGCTGCTGCTGCTGCTATTTCTCCGCTATATCTCTCTGCAGCCGGACAAGTCCGTGATCCCAGTCCTAGACAACCTAGTCAGCAATCACAAGTTTGAAAACTCCTTCACCATGTCGCTGTGTGGGCGGGTTGGGACCTCCAAGAACCTCTCCTTTACCGGTTCATTGGTGAGTTTTCCTGTTTTATTGCTGTGTGGAGATTTGTTGCTAGTACATGTACTTCTTGTTGCATAGGAATTGGAATGAAATGAGCAAGTTGGGTGCTGTTCCTTTTGTCTTCTTTTTGAATTAACCGTGTCTTCCGTCTTATGCGTGCTATTCGTACTCGAATATGGTTCTCACCAGTCTCTTCTCCCCACTCATTTCTCATTCGATGTTATGCTACTAGCATGGCCCATCTTTGCAGAACATTGGCGTTTGAATATCTCTCTCTCTCTCTCTCTCTCTCTCTCTCTCTCTCTCTCTCTCTCTCTCTCTCTCTCTCTCTCCCCCTCTCCCCCTCTCTCTCAGCCAAAATTCTGCGCCTTTATCTCCACCTGCGCATAAAATCTAGACTGACAACCTGCTTGTTAAATCATGCACCTGCTTTCAGGCGTAAAAACCCTAGTGGAGGCCTCAGTCCTCATTTGTTAGACTTTCCTGCTTTTATAATGTAACTTACTCTCTCTCTCTATCTATCTATCTATCTGTCACACCCTCTCTCTCTCTATCTCTCTCTCTCTCTCTCTCTCTCTCTCTCTCTCTCTCTCTCTCTCTCTCTCTCTCTCTCTCTCTCTCTCTCTCTCTCTCTCTGTCACACACACTCTCTCTCTCTCTCTCTCTCTCTCTCTCTCTCTCTCTCTCTCTCTTTATCTATCTATCTATCTATCTATCTATCTATCTCTCCTGTTGCAGACCCTTGGCAGCAATGTTGAGGCAGTGAAGAAGCCATCCTTGGTATACACCAAGATTGTGGAAGAGAATTTCTACAGCATTCTCATTGATGATATGCAAGTCGGTGGCATGTCATTGGGCATGGACTGCAAGCAGGTACTTCGAAGTATTCTTTATGTACTGCAAAAAGAAAAAAATATCCTGTATTTCCTTTTTCAAGACTCCTGTGCCATGTATTACTCACACAGTCCGTATTTGGCATTGTGCGAGGGGCAGGTGGTACTCTCTCTCATGTGGCAACCACTGCAGTTGAATGCGGTCGTGCGTAGATGTGCGCATACAGATCCTGTGCACTGACGGTGCGAGTTCCAGTATTCTTCGCTGGGTGTCCTTGTCTTTGCACATAGAGACCAAGAGTGGATGGAATGTGTTTTGTTTCTGTGCTTCTTCTGCTCCTCATTTGGTCTAGTACAATAAGCCTCGCACGTTCGTGGACAGCGGCACAACGTTTCTGTCCCTTCCAACTGATGTCTTTCTGGCAGTAGTGGGCCGCATCCAGCAGCATCTGAAGGTGTGTACGTTGGTATAATACTAAATAGTGTGAATTAGTTTTGCAATGTCGGCGGGGATCATCCTCCATGGCAAACATATGCATCACAGCCAGCATTGGTAGTGTGAAATTTGGTCTTGTTGAAAGGGGGGGGGGGGGGGGGTGTAGCGGTGTAGCCCCCAACACCCATTGTGTAATTGCAATAAAACTCCTCCGTCTCTTTTACATATACCTGGTATGTATACATGTACTTAGTATCCGGTTAAGTCTAATTTACTGCTCTTCGTCTGCCCTGTAGAAATCAAACCACTCATTCCTGACGTGCGCCAAGGCTGACAAGTTCTGGACGGGGACTTCCCGGTGTGCTGTGACCGACGAAGCAGCCTTTTTCGCTCTCTTTCCGAGCGTCACGCTGTCATTGACGGCTGAGGAAGATGCACTGGACTATTTTGATTTGACCATTCCACCACATGTAGGTAACCTTAACCAGCATGGCATTGTGCGTGGTTATTTCATTGTACGTGTGTGTGTATGGGGGGGGGGGGGGGGGTGTTGTGCACGTGTGTGTGTATGGGGGGGGGGGGGGTGTTGTGCACGTGTGTGTGTGTGCATGTGGCCTATTTTTTTAAACGTTGTGAAAAGTATCGCTCATCCAGAATAACCGGCTTCACTTGCACGCCATGCTGACTTTAAAGAACAGCGGCAGGAGCAATGAGCTTCAAGGGAGAACAATAAGCATTACCCTTGCGATGCAGAGTAGAACCCGGGTTAAGGGTCACACCGGATTAGGGATCGGAGTCGGGGGGGGGGGGGGGGGCTAATGGCACGTACATTGTGCGGGTGATCCTTCGGAGCCCGGGGGGGGGGGGGGGGGGTCACTTGGCATGTACATTGTGCGGGTGATCCTTATACCGGGATTTAATTTCCGGCCCAAGGGGGTCCCCCGTCGGTTTCTGAGGAAGCCGTAATTTTTTCGCTCCAAACTATTTTTCCGGGGTCCATCTACTCACAAAATGTCGTTTTGCACACCTTTTTGCCCATCCCTGTACAACTGAGTCCAGCCATGTCCGCGCAGAGTTAGGTGGATCCCTAACCCGGGTTCTACTCTAGAGCTGTGCAAGAAAGAGGCGCTTACTGCCGTACCGTATTGTGCACTGTCTGGATCTACAAACATCTCAGATTCAACAGGATCCTCTTTTGCTGTTGACTGGCAGAATACCTGTTTAACCTGTTTTGTACATTTTTTGTCGTTTTCTTGTAATCAGCTATACTTGCAGGGTGTGCCGTGCTTTCAGAACCCGGGTCACACCTGCTTTATGTTCTCCATCCAGGAGTCTGCTGAAGGTCAGTCGAATCATGATCACCTATGGTGCATGAGTGCTCCAGATTTGTATGTTGACTCTTCTGCTCTTACCAGCCTGTTGCTTTCTCGGGAATGTCCCGCTTGTTGCTGTTTTGTCTGTTCTTCTGCTGTGCTACTGTCGTGGACGTAGAAATCCAGTCGATTGACGCGGGGCCGGCGCCCTCAGCGCGTGCAGAACGCTGCGTGCAGTGCACATGTTGATCCGATGCGACAATGTCGACCTGCGCGCTGCATGCAGCGCATAAATCAAGCTTGTACCGCGTTTAATATCCACGGCTGCATGGCCAGCGCCCTGGGGCCACTAGACGTGCGACCGGATTTCCATGTCCACGACAGTAGAATAAACTATCTGTAGCATAGCAGCATGCGTCACTGAATGTGTGTCTTGTCGTTTCAGGCTTCCTCTCCGCGCAGTGATAACATTTTACCTTTTTTGTTGGCCAGGACTCAAATCAATCTATTCTATACCGCTCGTTCACGATGGTGCCTTGAATGCCACTTTTGGTCTTATCTTTGTGTGACGACTCTCTGCAGGTCCTTGTATTCTAGGGACAGTGCTGATGGAAGGCTACGATGTCGTGTTTGATCGACAGAATCGGCGAATTGGATTTTCCGCTTCCTCGTGTACAGGTACGTACGTGGGACTATATATTGGGGGGGGGGGGGGGGTAGGTTTGCCCATGACCAGAAGCAAGAAGTATTTTCAGTTTTTTAGTCAGTCTAACTCACTCTGATGTGAGCTGTGATTTTTCGGATTTTTTACTCGATCCAAAATGAAAATATCTGTTATCTAAAGGCCACTGTGTGTGTGTGTGTGTGTGTGTGTGTGTGTGTGTGTGTGTGTGTGTGTGTGTGTGTGTGTGTGTGTGTGTGTGTGTGTGTGTGTGTGTGTGTGTGTGTGTGTGTGTGTGTGTGTGTGTGTGTGTGTGTGTGTGTGTGTGTGTGTGTGTGTGTGTGTGTGTGTGTGTGTGTGTGTGTGTGTGTGTGTGTGTGTGTGTGTGTGTGTGTGTGTGTGTGTGTGTGTGTGTGTGTGTGTGTGTGTGTGTGTGTGTGTGTGTGTGTGTGTGTGTGTGTGTGTGTGTGTGTGTGTGTGTGTGTGTGTGTGTGTGTGTGTGTGTGTGTGTGTGTGTGTGTGTGTGTGTGTGTGTGTGTGTGTGTGTGTGTGTGTGTGTGTGTGTGTGTGTGTGTGTGTGTGTGTGTGTGTGTGTGTGTGTGTGTGTGTGTGTGTGTGTGTGTGTGTGTGTGTGTGTGTGTGTGTGTGTGTGTGTGTGTGTGTGTGTGTGTGTGTGTGTGTGTGTGTGTGTGTGTGTGTGTGTGTGTGTGTGTGTGTGTGTGTGTGTGTGTGTGTGTGTGTGTGTGTGTGTGTGTTTGTACTAACTAGTATGTACATGCACTTGCTTGTAGGATCAGCACTGCAGGCCAGGCCGCATGCCCTTTGACCGGATTTCGTTGTCTACAGTTATGCTGGCACATGTCTACAGTTATGCTGGCACATCTTGCCTGTAACTGTTATTTCATTGTTTTTCTCTGTGCTGTGCACTCTGATTTTTGTTTTCTTTCTCCAGTCGGAGCTAGTCACTTGGCTAAGCCCAGCATCACTGGTCTGTTTCGGCGAACGGGTATGTGCCATCCAACAGTGCTTTTTTTCTTCCCATTTATTGGTCAAAAATGAAATGACCCGCGCTCTGCGAAAACCGACCTTAGGTGCTTCGTAATTTTTTCGAGAAAAAGAACAAAACGTCACGGTCTGTCGATTTTTGAAGATCACAAGGTGAGAGTCATGGCGGAACGAAGCAGAAGACAGTCGCTAGCTCAAATAATATCCTTTAACCCGGCATTGATCCGAGCTTCTTCACTACTTTGCACCTGCCTCTACCCATCACTCTGGCTGGCATATTCTCATACAGAGCCAAATACATCTTCCAGCAGATTCGTGAGCAACACCATCCACAGAAGAGAGAAAGAATGTGTCTATCTCCACAACAGGAAGATCCAATGCCATCATACACCTTTCCTTTTGAAGATTATGACATACAGATTTATTCTGCAAAGTTTGGCTGCAATCATGCTGCTTGAATTCTCACAGCATTGGCTCCAAAAAGTAGCATAAAATCCAGGATTTTTGCTACTTTTCCTCAAAATATTGTAGAAAAAAGTGCAAAGAAATTGTCATTGTATCTAACTGAATATGTATGCAATCCACCTCAAACTTCACCAGAAGTTGAAGAAAGGGTCATGGGTCAACAATCTAGCACAAACTCAATTTCGCCAAAATAGCACCTAAGGTCGGTTTTCGCAGAGCGCTGGTCAAAATGATGCATCCAATGCAGCATCATACATGTATATAAAGAGACCCTTTCGCCAGGTGTGTGTTTCTTGGTCTGGCAGGAGCATGTGCAATGAAGCAAACTATGACATGCATACCATTTCGACCAACGTTAGTAGGCGCCCAGCATTCTCACACCTGGTGTTGTTCGTTTGTGCGTGTATGTACAGATGCCACACACTGCAAGTATTCCGAGCACACCCGTCCGAGCAAGCCAAGCGCCTTCAAGTCGACCATCCTCTTCTTCGGCGGCGTGGCGTTCATTTTGATGTTTGTCCTGTGCTCGTGGGACAACTGCTTCAACTCCAGGTCACCAGCTCGTAGGTTCCGGCGTAGTATTGACGTGAGCAGAGATTCTGTATCGCAAGTGTTCCAGCCGATTCTCTCGTCAGATGACGATGATGAGCCAGATGTCAATATCTTACCTATGGAGGACATCACACATCGCCGAAAAGAGGCGGTATGAGGTTGCGAGTTGAACTCTTCTGTTGAGTGACCAGGCGCTGTTGTTACAGCTCCGAGTCGTTCCCTCTTGAGTAACAGGGAATCACTCTGCCGAGTTGAATATCTGTGGCGCTTGTTTGCCGCAGACTTGATCCTTGATCTTCATCTGGCCCGATGCCATGATGATCATGTTTGCACGTGGCGTTGAAAGGTGTGCCATGATTGACCCACCGCCATTTCACAAAGTTGCCAACGCTTCCCAGTAACGTGATGTGTACTTGCACGGTATGAGGTGATGAGCAGCGAGTGTTCGCCGGCCCTCCTCTCAGATTTGTCTGGCACCATACCTGTGCGGCCAATAACGTGAACATACACATGTTAGATGGGGTGCTATGCGCTGAGGCTTCTGCTCTTGTTGAGTGTTAACTTTTGTTTTACTTTTTTTTTTTAATCTGACGTTTCTATTGATTTTTAGTAACTTGTTCCCTTTTTTTAAATTTTCAGTATAAATCGACGAATTTCCAGCTGATATTTATCGGACATACACATTGCCTTTCCTTGCAACTGATCTGGTTTAAAAATGTGCATCTCGTTGAGCCGAACAGAGTTTTATAATCCCCTTCCTCCGGTATCTACCATGCTTGATTATCCTAATGTATTTCCTCCGCTCACTCAATTTTGTGAAGACCTTTGCCATGGAATGGTGCATGAAGAATGTACCCCGACCTCTCCACATTTTTCCATGGGGGAGCCGTACCCAAGCCAGGTTTCGGCGTGGCTCCTTGATCATCGTTTTCTATACCTTATCCTTGTGGCAATGTATAGGGCGAACATGCTTGTACCCAGTACCATTGAAGTCGCAGCATGGTTCTCACTATGATTGTACTACAGTATTGTTTTGTTTCTCTCTGGGACACTACCGCTTGACTTTTATTTGCCCTGCATACATCTCATCGGTGTTGTGTCGAGCTAGTGTTTTTAGATGCCCTTTCCAGTGCACCTTAGCCTTATATTAGGTCTAGACTGCCCGTTGAGTGAGAAAATCAGTCCGTCCGCCGGTGTTATATTTTTTCCCGCTCTTACTTCTGTTCTAGTATTGATGATCGCCTTGTGTGTGCTCTACGGCACCTGCACGCTTGTGTACTGCACAGTGGATGATGAAAAAACAAACTGGGCCTTTTACAGTATAACCAAGAGTCCAGGGTTATGGACTCTTGGTATAACTACTCCCAAGAGTACATAACTGTGTAGTTATGTACTCTTGCTACTCCACCGTAGCCATTTCACCTTGCTCGCAAAATCACACACGAGGCTGCCACCCAAAACGGTCCCTTGGCTTTATACTGTTTGTTTGGATTTGCTTGAGTACGAGTAGTATAACTATAAGCAAGAGTGCATGTTTATGGACTCTTGCCAGTCAGTCTTGGTATACGGAATAACTTCAATAAGTGTAATACTAATACAGTACTGTGACCTACTGTGATGTCTGTGGATCTGATCTACATTGTACATTAATTTTGCACATAATATTATTATTTCATTGCATGTATACTGATCAGTTTGTTGATCTACATGACTGTGCATAGTCGACTACAAAAATAGTCATACATGTACTGTAGTCTGTAGGTACTCAATTATTCATAATGTGCTGTGGTAGGTCTTCACTTGGCTGGCTCCTGTCAAGATACGATAATGCTCATTATGACATTGAGCACATGCACAGTCAGTAAAAGTATGATTTTAGCAAGAGTACATTTTATGTACTCTTGATTTTAGTAAAAGGACCTGCCAGAAAACGTATTCACTATTGGCAAGAATGCATAAACACTCTTGCTACAGACAGTACACCACTGGTACACTACCTAGGGCCAGGTGCATGACCATCACCCTACATGATTGTGGTCCCTGACGCCTCATGACATTAAATTTACTTCATACGGGAAGTCTCATAATCAAAACCAGGGATCCCGGGAGTCGAGTCGTCAAATACCGTGGTATTAATTTTGACGACTCGAACTCCCTGATCAAAACGTTCATTCCATTTTTTTGATGCTGTCAGTGTCGTGTCACGTCACACAATTCATGTTTTCAAGCCAACAAACACAACACGGTTTTGTAGATCTACGATCTCGATCGTACCAAATGTGGTGAATTGTCTTTCCTCAGTTTCTTGCAGACTCAGAGATCTGCGCCGTATTTAGGAAAAGCGGCTTGAGATGAATTTGAAAACACGTATTCGCAGAAATGCGCATGCGCCACGGGAAAAGAGCGCAAAGCTGCGAGCGTTTTTATCGCTTTTTGCTTTGCAGTTGGTGGAAGTTCTTGTGAGTTCGCGATTTTGTTTGGTGTCTTCTCAAAAACTAGCTGGCCAACGCCTCAACGATGGACGAGAACCCAGTCCCAGGGTGCGAATTCTGTTCCGAGCAGCGCCCTTCTTTGACTTGCTCTGACTGTTCCCTGAGTTTGTGCGAGACATGCTGCTCTCTTGTCCATTCCAAAGGGAAACTCGCAGAGCATAAGCTTACTCCCTACAGCTGCGAGGTTTGCAGCAAAACTCGGTCGGAGGTGGATTGTTTCAACTGCGACGTTGGATTTTGTGCGCCATGTTTCAACAAGCTTCATTCTCGGGGCACGATGGCTCTCCATGTGAGGTCGCCTCGCGAGCCCGTGGATCCCTCCAGACAGTCGGCATTGGATGGCCTTCCTGGTCAGCTGCCCCCACAACTAGGCACCGTTCCGAACACAGCAGACCCTGCGGCCGCCTCGGCTGCTGCAGTGCTCAGCTCAGTTGCTCAGCAATCTCGTGCTTGGAGCAGCCCATCATCTGCACCCCCGGCTACCACAGCTGGGCCATCATCCTCGATTTTCTGTGATGGCACATGCAAAACATGCCCTCCGGCTTCTTCCAAGCCGGGCTACGGGCTGCCGCGTGCCAAGAAAGAAAAGGGAGAGGACGGCGAAGGGTCCGGAGATGAGAAAGACGGCGAGGACCAACCACCGATGCAGCCGCCACGCATCCTGGAGCCAGTGAATCTCGCCCTGCTTCCATGCCAGCATCGCGTCAACCAGCGACTGTTCAGCTACCGCAAGACCGGAGATGGCTGGGTGGGCCGAGAGGTAGTTGGTAACATCTTCACGGACTGCAACAGCCAGAGCCAGTTGCAGTTTGAGGTGCGCGAGGACGGGATCTTTTGCAACATCTGCCCGCCGCACCGTGCACCATTTTCAACATCGGGCGATGTGAGCAATCTACGCTCTCATGCAAAAAGCGACCTGCACTTGAACCACCTGACGTTGCGCATGACAGGCCAGTGGCCAAGCTGCAAGCCGACCGGCATTCTCTCGGATGGTTCCTTTGTCGCGTCACCATCAAGAAAGGCAAACTCTGGGAGCCCTGTCTGTGTGACACCGGCTGCTGAGGTTTTCACACCATCGCATGGCAACAAGGGCTTCCGCTCTCCGAAGCAGCACTACACGCCCCAGGAACAAGAGCTGCTCATGCAACTCGGTGTCGAATGCAACTGGAGCAAACGCAACAACGCACAAATCGAGAAGTTTGCCGAGGAGCACAACATGCTGCCACGCCGCGTGAAGGCCTGGATCGGCAATCACAAGCCGACGCGCAAGAAGTACCGCTACTCGTCCGGCTCATCCAGCAGTCAACCAACGCCGTCCACGTCCAATGGCACGGTTGCGACTCTTGCTGGTATGTCTCAACCGCCGGCGTTCTCCGTTGCTTCAAGCGCTGCCGATGGCGTTACCAGCTACAGTGTGTCCTCGGCTATTGCGCTTAGCGGTGGTCAGAGCACGGCCACGGTGACACTGCTGCCACAGCTCCCCATCCCCGGCGAAGTTGTACTGCCTGAGTCCTCGTAAGAGCACCCCAGTTTGGGTAATGGAGCCCCCAGCTTTCTAACTTCACCAGACTCACTGGCTGTGACCAATGCATGAGAATATACTGTTAGTGATAGTTACATACTGCAGACGGAATACTTGTATCAACTGGAGTCTACTGCTATCCGCACGAAATACACGAAATGTAGAGTGAATATACCTTAGATCAACTGCACTTGCTGCTGGCGCCATCTCCCGACCCATGATAGCACATGTTGGTGACATCCTCCCCCTAGTGTTTTATTCCACCCGCGTTGTGGTGCTTGTGGTGGTCCGATTTCTTAGCTCAGTCGTGACGCTGTGCCAATGCCATGTGAGTTTTGTTCCTGTTGTTGATGTCGATAATGATGCTAACGGCCGATCTGTATGTACATGCTAGTGCAAATGTCCTGTCTTTTTAGGCCTTTACTTGCTTGTGTAGCTGCACATGTTTTACTTTTAGTCTTTGTGAAGTTGTGTGCGATCCGAACTGTATGCCTTACTCACATTTTACTGTTATTTTGCTGCTACTCTGGTATGGACTACTAGTAATGATTCTTCCACTCAGGTTATGCACACCGCTGGTGCCCATGTTCTTTCACAGTATGTCCGTGTTGCTGTGTGTGTGCTACACATGTTTGCCGTTGTGGCACGTTCAGTAAATCACACTCGTTGAGTCTTGTATGAACAGTTGACGCTGGTTTTTTTAGCTTGATACACCCACCTGAAATCCTGGTGCTGCGTCACGACCCTGTTGTATGTTGCAGTAGATTTTATGTCGCATCTCACGCGCCGGCATGTGTATTGACAAGCAGGGAGTAGTACAATACTATTGAATACTGTAAGACATTGTTATTATAACGAGTCGCAAATTTAACGATTGTCCAAAATTCATAGGTTAACGAGAAGATATGTTAACGATCTTGCAGTATTCTGCCATATCCATACACAGCATTATATGAAGCAGTACGGCCTCAACGGATCTTATTATAACGAAGAATTGTCATCCGTTAAAACGTTAGATTTACTTCCTCGTTATATATACATGTCTTACAGTAATTGTACTACTCCCTGTTGACAAGAGCAAGAGTACATACCAGAGTTGGTTACCACCGGGTCCAGCGAGTACTGGGTAGTCATGTACAATAGAGAGGTTCCGGGGTACGATTTTCCGTGCCAAAATCCGTATGGGCGCTACGGATTTTTTCCAGGCGTGCTCCATACGATTTTTCGGCACGGAGAATCCGTGTGGACTGGCTTTCACACGAACCATGTTTCGTATGGAGATTTTGCGTCATCGGGTGCAGAAAGATTTTTCGCGTACAAATTTGGTACGAGAAACATGGATTTTCCGCGGGAAGTTTTGATTTCGGTACAAATTTTCAAAATAAAAAGGCATAGCGCGGGAATGTGACGTGTTTGCGATCGTAACCTAGGCAATGACGGCAAACACATAAGTTCCGTACCCCGGAACTTTTCACTGCTCGAAAACGACGTATAAAAAATCCGTAGCTCCTCCACGGATTTTGGCACGAAAAATCGTACTCCGGAACCTCCCTAATATTAGTGAGGTTCTGCCACACGGTATAACGTGCCAAAGTACGTATGGAAACTTCGCCGCGGTACGGGATTTAGTTTGATACGGATTTTTTCATACCGTTTTCCGTGTGAAGCGCGGTTCACACGGACCGGACTCCGTGTGAAAAGTGAGCGTACAGAGTACATGTGGCGGGGTGTTCGTGCATGGTTCGAGTATGCTACGTACAGCAGAACCGGTGCAACGTACGAAAAATCCGTGTCAAACTGCACTGCAGTTGACACGGAGTTTGGTACGTAGTTCCGTGTAGCAGAACCTCTCTATTACGACTCCCCGGCCCTGGTGTACACAAAATCACTGTCACTGGCAGTAAACCTTAGTTTTGTGCTATTTTCTGTCCCCCGTGAATTCCGCGGATTGCAGAATTCAGAAAATCCCGCGGAATATTGCAGAAAAGCGAAAAAACTGCTTTTTCTGGAGACTTTCAATGACATGTACATGTATTTTCACAGCCAAACCAACCTGCTTGTGACTTTCAAAATCAACTGGCAGTATATTTTAGAGCTTTCAATTTTTTCGACCAGGATTTCGCATAATTTTGGTTCAGAATTTGTAGGGACAACAAACTTAGGTGGGGTTGCGGAAATTCGACCTGTTTTTACGCTCATTTTCCTTGCAGAATTGCCGCAGAATAGAGCCGGATTTGCAGAATTTACTGTTTTTAGCCGCAGAATTCTGCACGGAATTTATTATTATTTATTTATTACAACATCTCAAGACTCGGTGGAAACACCGGCCAATGATAAGAGAGTGGGTGCCGCGGAATTCACGGGGCCGGGGGACAGTATTTTTGAAGAAGTTAAAGGTATAAATGTGGAAAGGAAAAGGACATAACATAATAAAACACATGATAATTATGGATACGAGTAACTCTCCATCACTGTAACTGGATACTATACCGGTATACTAGTTATTGCACTTTCTGACTGTTTATTTATGGCTCAACATCCGAGTTTTAAAATAAGTGTTTATGAAATAAGGGGATATTATTATTTATTATTATGTGCTTGTTCGCGTAGACATCAGCATGGCCTGCAGCTAAGGACCGGCGGATTATGCTCGAAAAGGTGGCAGATTCTGCTCGAAGAGCAGTGAAATTGGCAGAACCATACAAACCTTATGGCGGGCAATTCCTCGAATTCTGCTCCATTTCTTTATCCACATACCACACATGCATGAAACTTACCAGAAAAAGTACCGAATTCTGCCAATTTTTCTGCCGGCAGAATCCGCCGGACCCTACCTGCAGCTGCATTAATGGGCATGCGAATCATGCAAACCAGCCAAAAATGTTCGCATAAGCCACTTCGAATAGATACAAAAGACCATAACAGTTTCAAAAAAAGAAGAAATATGCGAAAAGAAGACAAAAACTAGGGTGCCGACACCACTCGGGCACAGATGCCCACCCAACCGATATAAGGGGATATCCCGGATGTAATTCTTCAATTCGCAGGATTCTCGTGAAAATCAAATGAATCTGTTCAAGCGCAGAATTCAGAATCATCGTTTTGTCAGTTTTTTGTTGTTGTTGTGCCTCATGCATGTCATCAGGGAGTCGTCAAAATACGACTCCCTGGATGTGATATCTGCGAGTACGACACCAACTCTTTTTTGGCGTGAAGTATTAAAATTTTAAAATGTTATAGTACAATTGAATCATGAATGCTTGTATTTGTGTGCTTGGTTGGAACAATTTGAGAAATGCAAGGGAGCTGAAGAGCTACGTATGACGGCGTGAATACCACACCATAAACGCACTAAACTGCTGTGACTAAGTGTAAATAATCAAGTAGTTACGGTGGGTCTCATGCGACTGGCGAGCAGTTCTTTTTCTTGATGTCAGCCAGCACGCTGACTGTAGTGTAGTAGCATCAGTTCTCAGCTGTCCGGATTAGACTCCAACTAATTACGTCCAACTGCCCACTACAGTATTCGTAGCTGGAATGGCTATACCGTATGTCAGACACAGCTCTGTGTCGTCCAGAGTTTCAGTAGAAGATGCTCTCTTCAATCAGGCCAGGTATGTCAAGAGGGGGGGGGGGGGGGTACCGGGGGGTACCTGTGCTACCAACAAGAGAACTGTTCGGGGCACTCGCTAAGCTGGCGATGTATGTACCTGCACTTGCAAATCTTTTGTGTATACAGCAGTGCGGGACGCTCACATGTGCACCATGTATCCGGGATAAAAGCAATGTGATCGGGCCATCACACTGGTATTATGAAATTCTCCACGGGATGTGTTTGATGGTACGGGGGCATGTATGGGATACGCAGGGCTGGTATCTTCTCACTACAATATATGAACGACACTACAGAACAACAAGGACAATCAAGGCTTGTTTGCTGCTACTTTAAGTTTCATGCTTACGCAATCATCAGGCAACAGGATGTTGCCTGATGATTGCGTAAGCATGAAACTTAAAGTAGCAGCAAACAAGCCTTGATTGTCCTTGTTGTTCTGTAGTGTATTACGCTCTGCCTTTGTGGTGTTGAGCACTATCAAGCACTCTGGGTACATCCTTCGGTATATGAACGACATTACGTCACGTCAGCCTACAGGGTATGCACTCTGTCCATGCAGGGCTTTTGGGTGAAAATTGCTCTCGCCCAACGGCACACGTTTGCTTTGCCCGGTTCTTATCTCATCATGTAAAGTTTGCACATATTGGCCAGGCAGTTGTTAACGAAAGCATCCAGGGACCCATTTGATTGTTGTGCGTGCTAGTTGAATCATGCACGTTCATAAGCATAGATAGACCCGGATTGAGAGCCAATGATTAATTTATACTAAAGAAAAGGACCAAGGAACTACAAGTTACTTCGTACTGTCGGTCAGTTTTGTGCAATGCTATCGCATGAGCTGATTGTCAAGGAACTGGTGATGTTAGTGGACATTATAGCGTAACTTGTAGTTCCTTGGTCCTTTTCTTTATTATAAATTCATAAGCATAGTTTGTAGTTATCGGGGGGTAAACATCATGATCACTGTGATCCAAGATCTTAGATGCAGCTAAAGATACACTTGTGTTACAAGCTGTGTATGTTTGTATTTCTTGACTGTTGCGTTCAGAGCATTGAGCGATGGCGAGCTGCAGGAGTTCTGCGAGAACCTGATCACCCAAATGAAGGGCCATGACCGCAGCAATGACTTCATCACCATGCTGAGAAAGTTCTATGTTCTGGTCCAAGCCACGCGCAAGAACCTGCCGTAAGTGTGTGTGTGTGTGTGTCTGTGTCTGTGTCTGTGTCTGTATGTGTGCACAGCCACTGTCTAGCTGAGTTTCTTTATTTACGAGGTCGGGTAGCTCGGATTGCGAGGTTGTCTGAAAATAGCATTTTGCGATTCCGTCGACAGTTTGTCATAGCCAGGTAGGATACAATTTTTAATAAATTTAAGTTTCACTGTGGTTGATCTTTTTCTCCTGTGTTCGTTGTGGACATGCAGTATCCCACGGCAACTCATCGACCAGCTGTACATGGTGCTGTCGGAACCGGAGCAGGGAGCGGCGCGCGTGCGCTTGCTCTGCGCCGTCATCCTGCGCGAGATTGCGCCCACCGCGCTGCTGGAGATCCGCCACTTCAACCCGCCCGTGGAGACACGCCAGCTGCCGTTCATCCTGCCCGTGGTGCTTGCCCAGGTAAGCAGTGCGCTGTGTCCGCATCTGACCGAACTAGACTGAGAAGCTAGCGGCCTTGAACACTGACGTGCAAGTACCGCATTTTACCGGTTATAAGTCGACACCAATACTTGGGGCCTCGATTTATCAGTTCAATACTTCGATGGCAATCATACATGTACCGTAAAGTACCGTTGATCTGCCCCACGCCATGTCGCTTCCCAACTGGGTTTTCGGCAGGGGGCGGGAATTAGATCAAGGCTGTCAAGTGCAGTACGGTGTACAACAACGTTGAGGATCAGACTTGATGTGCTGGATTTTGCACATTTTCATCCTGGATTGGCACGTATTGTGTATAGCAGTGCACGCGTCGGTTCAACATCGTATTTCGTTGTATACGCCGAAGTCGCTTCACAGGTAGAAAATCGACAGGGGGCGGGAATTAGAGAGGGGGCGGATCAACGGTACTTTACGGTACATGTATCTCCCTGCAAGTGCTCTGTTCCCGAATATAAACCGCACCTTTTCAGTTTTTACACTCAACTTCAAGGCTGAAACGTGGTGTGGTTGAGATGCGTGACTCCATTTTTCCCTTTCTTTTTTGTTTCCAGGGTGCGCGACTTGGTTTCCTTTCGCAGATCACACCGATATTAGTCAAGTGAGTATAAAGACGCGTGGGCGTTGTCACTTTGACCGCCGATTGACTGACTGGTTGGCTGCATGTTCTGATCAAGTGTGAAATTGTCCGTTCGGGCAGAGTGCCGCATCTTGATTTTGCTCCCAGTGATGTAGTTGTAGCCGCTGATCCGCTGGGTATGACTGTGTCTACGTGCCATTGAGAAAAAAGGAAATTAATTATGCTATTGGGCTCCTATTGTTTCAAATTTCTTGTTTTGTTCGCATTGTTGTGTGTTCTTCGGGCTAATCTGTTGCTGCTGTTATGTCAGACTGCTGGCACACTCCGGGGCAGATCAGGAGACCTGTCAGAGGATTCTATCGTCACTGGCCGTCATTGCTTGCCGACACACTGTTTGCCTTACGGAAGGTATGTGCGTGTTTACCTCCCCCCCCCCCCCCCCCCCCCCCCCCCCCTCTCTCTCTCACGTATTCTCGGTATAGTCTCTGACTCTCTCCTAATTCAATAGTAATTGTTTATGTGTGCTCTGTGGGAATGCTCACACATTGTCCCGTTCTCTACGTCCATCCGTATGTTGTTGTGCTGATCCTAGGAATGTGTGTGTATGTGCATGCTGTCCGAAGCAAAACAGCGGCCACTGAACTAGCTTATAATTATACCCTTGATGGCACTCTATATCTCTGTGTGTGTATGTGCATGCATGCATTTATGTGTGTGTGTGTGTGTGTGTGTGTGTTCATGTGTGTGTGTTCATGTGTGTGTGTTCATGTGTGCATTCATGTATGCGTAGAGCACATAGCCCAAATCAACAACCAGCTGATCGTTTGGCTCCGGAATGCCAGCACCGTGTCCGCACCAAACCCTTACGCCGGCCGACAGCTATTCTCCAGTAACAAGCAGGTAGGTTCTAGTGTGACTTTCGAAGTCTGAAGAGGATGTTGAACGGTCTCTGCTGGGATGACAGCTGCACCATAGCTCAGTGGTTAGAGCATCGCCGGCCTCAAGCGAAGGTCCCTAGTTCGAGTCCTGGTGGTGACAGTCAAATTTTTCTTCAGACTTTTTCCCTTTTCCATTCCTGCAACTAGTGAATATGTTCTAGCATACTCATTGTTTCTGTGTACAGGTGAAAGCAAGAGTATACAAGCCCCCAAGAATGTGTAGCCCCTGACACCCTTACTATGGGGTTCGCCGACGGCGAAAACTCATGTCACGTGGTGTAGTGTCGCAGTTGTACGTTTCCAGCCCGTTTGTAACGAGCAGCGGAGTAATAAAAAAAGCCCTCTCTGACAGAAACTCACTGCGCGTATACAAATCCCCAGCATGATCATGGCAGATATTCGGATTGCGCGCACGCTATCCTTCGTTTGTACGCAGTACGAAACGTACCCGAGGCACGTGATGTGAGTTTTCGCCTTCGGATACCCCGTATGCAGAGTTACACATTCTTGGGAGGTTATATTATACTCTTGGTGAAAGCTGGTTTGAGTGACCACTCCTGAGAAGGGGGGTGATCACAGTCTTTGAATGCACATGCTCGCTGTTACCAGGGCGACCGTTGCACATTCCACGTACAGTATTTGGTTACAAGGAAAGTCTTCTTACAGGCCAGGTGGTTGTATGGCCAAGCTTCAGCTGTACTGGACCCTGGACCACGTAGTCAATGATTTCCCAGTCTGCTGCAAGTTGATGTGGATCGGGTGCTGTTATCTGTCTGCCTGTGTACAGACGTTCTAGTTTCTCATCTGTGCTGTCTCCCCCCCCCCCCCCCCCTCTTGTTCCTGCAGCCGGCCCCAGTGAAAGAGATTGATGGGTCGGCATCACGTGACTTCTTCACTGTTTTGAGTGTCGGTGAGAGCAAAATACAAAATTTGGGAAAACCCATTGAGTAGGAAATACAGTCGTGGCCAAAGAAGTCTCAACCTCATGAATAAAGTAGCGCCGCACTCCAGTGAGCAGAGTGGTGTTTGTGTGTGGTGCTACATTTTGTAGGGCCGAACATCCTGCGGCGCTGCATGTATTATATTCATGAGGTCGGATTTCTCTGGCCAGGACTTCCAGATCATCGAGATGATGATTGGATTAGTGCAGGCTGCTCATCAAACTTTGTTCTCGGTTTGCTGCTCTGTGTTTCTGAGGTATGCTAGCTACAACACCATCTAGAGATATTGCTTGAGCACATGTGTATTTTGGGATTTCCTATAAATATTTTTACAGCAAAAAATTAAAAACCATAGAAGACAAGAGATGACTCGGGATTTGTTGTAACTCTGAGTTTCAAGATTATCAGTTGCCTGCACATTACCACCATAGGCATGATGCAACAAGGAAACATGACTGTAGTTGATTGTTGCAACTGTTCAATGTTTGTGTACTACTGGTATAACTTGTAGTAGTTGGGTTTTTTCTCGGTCTCGGTCTGTGCTTGCTCCTGTTCTCATCCCCGTTGCCATCCGTTGTCGTTTCGAATGTTCAATGTTTGTGTCCTTGTAGTTGGCTTTATTCTCTGTCACTGTCTGTGCTTGCGACTGTTCTCCTTGCCGTTGCCATCCGTTGTTGTTGTCTGGTGTTGCCGTTCCCAGGCCAGTACTACTCCAGCGACCAGTGGCTCAACATCCAGAGCTTCTCCATGCTACGCACGTGGATGCTGCGCACGTTCCCGCCGGGCTCGTTCGTCCTGGGCTCGTCGCGCATCGGCACCGTACCCGCCTCTCCGTTCCTCTCCGCCACCACCAGCCGCACGCCCTCACCCGGAGATAGCGGTGCTGGCGGCGCTGGTGGTGGTCACTCGTCCTCCGTGTCCGACTTGTCCAGCATGGCTAGTCATCGCGGCAGTACCACCACCATCGGCGGCAGCACCACCACGGATCTGTTCAGTCGGTCGCGCAGCAAGCTGCGCGAGAAGGCGTACGACTACTGCATGCGACTCGTCGATCAGTGCGACAAAAGTAAGCACCTGTGCGAACGATGTGGGCGTGTGTGTGTGAGCATGTGCGCCCGCGAGTGCGTACATTTGTTTAGTCCTGTTGTCGCACTGGGCTTGATATCTGGAGTTATTTTCTGGTCTTTGCCCCGTGTCCTTTGACCAAGCCTATACCTCTGTGGTGCGAAATTTTGGTTCATAGATTGAACAGGCGGCGTTAGCATTCAAAAGACAACGTCCAGAAATTTAACCCAGTTGAGTGCGAGAAACCTGGTCAAAGCCTAGAGTGTGCTTATCAAAGGTGCCTGCCTCATCACGTCTGACTCTAGCGCAGCAGCAGCAGCGCGTTTTGTCACACGGCTGTTCTGAGAAGTGACCAGCGTGTGGGTGTGGGTGTGGGTGTGAGAACGTCACTGTCACCCTCGCCAGCAGCATCACCATGTGAACACTTCACACTACAGTCTGTCTGTCAGCTACTGCTGTAAACCCTTTTTCATCCTGTTTGTCAACATGCCTGTGACTTCTTTTCATTCGTGATTCTTCTTGCGAAGTGCCTCCATCTTGTCCACATTTCACCCGGAGTTGTTAGATATAGCGCACACATTGTGTGTGTGACAGTTACGGGAAGCACGTGTTGTGTAGCAGGAACAGTACTCTCCCCCCTATATAATTATACTGGCGGCCGAGCACCCTTCTTTTTCTTGTTCTCTGTTTTGATTTTGTTGCTGTGTGGCATGCATAGCGTACTAAGCATCGTTAGCTGTATGGCATAGCTTACAGTGCTGTGCTACATGACATGCATGGGGTTAGGTGTATGGTATGGCATACTGTCCTGTGCTGTATCTCTTAGTACATTGTACTGCCATGGTATTGGGACCAGTGGTACGTGCACTTGTTTGCACTGGAGAGTCTGCGTGTTGTGATCGACTCTGCTGCTCAGTAGCCACATCACGTCGCTGTAGTTATAGCAACATTTGATGAGTTCTGTGTGTTCATTGGCCCTCCCACCATCCCCCCCCCCCCCCCTCTCTCTTTGGAAGAAATAGTAATATGCTCTGTTTCCCAGCTGTGAAATGGCTGACTCAGAAGACCTGTCCACTTTGGCTGCTTGCTGTCCGTGTGATCTGGTGATGCCTCTCGCCAGCAGTTATGACCGTGTTAATCAAACTCAGACACAATGCTGCACTGGTAGTTGTGTGGCTTATGTTATGAAGTTGTATTTTGTTTTGTTTACATGTCGGTGTGCTTTGTATCTGTGTTGTCTTGCAGAGCCAGAGAAGAAGTCGGACGAAGACCTGGTGCACTCGGTGAGTTACAGCCGGCTCAGTGTGTGGCAAACTGGTGAACTTGCATGTGTGTGTGTGTGTGTGTGTGTGTGTGTGTGTGTGTGTGTGTGTGTGTGTGTGTGTGTGTGTGTGTGTGTGTGTGTGTGTGTGTGTGTGTGTGTGTGTGTGTGTGTGTGTGTGTGTGTGTGTGTGTGTGTGTGTGTGTGTGTGTGTGTGTGTGTGTGTGTGTGTGTGTGTGTGTGTGTGTGTGTGTGTGTGTGTGTGTGTGTGTGTGTGTGTGTGTGTGTGTGTGTGTGTGTGTGTGTGTGTGTGTGTGTGTGTGTGTGTGTGTGTGTGTGTGTGTGTGTGTGTGTGTGTGTGTGTGTGTGTGTGTGTGTGTGTGTGTGTGTGTGTGTGTGTGTGTGTGTGTGTGTGTGTGTGTGTGTGTGTGTGTGTGTGTGTGTGTGTGTGTGTGTGTGTGTGTGTGTGTGTGTGTGTGTGTGTGTTTTACTTCATCAGATACGCCGGCATTTCTGCCTTCTCGTCTAACCGTACGGTTAGCCTCTCAATAGAAGATGTGATCCAACATGAGCAGTGCTGGGCAGAGACCTAGCGTATGTGCTGTCTGGTGTTATGTAGAAGACATCTCGTAATGCCGCCTGCATGCTAGCGGGGCTTATCCTGTGTGCCCGTGCACGATGGCTCGTTTAGCAGAGTGGCCATGTCTGCGGCGTACTGGCACCTTGCTCTGCCATGATCTTTCAGTCTTTTCAAAGGCGTTGCAATGGAAGCGGTTTGATCTTCAGTTGTTCAGTATTTGCTCAAATTATCCACGGCGACCTTCATTCTCCTATCGCACGCGCATTGTGGATGCTACCGTGGCCAGGGTATGGCTTGGCAGCTGCTGTGTCTAGAGAATCATACCTTGTCATCTTGTGCCTTACTGCAGGCACTCCTGGAGGTGACGTTCCTACTCGATCGTCTCTGTACGAACAGTTCCACAATGGTGCCACGTGCCTTTCCCACTATCAAGCGTATCTACTCTCGCCTCACATCTGCGGTGCAGACGGCCCAGGTCGGTGGTGGCGGGGCTGCGGGAGCAGTGGCTGGGACTGGTGCTGTGTGCCTGAACAACTGCGAGAGCCAGCTGCTGCTGGCGCTGATACAGTTCTTCTTGAATCACGGTATGGTCTGTGTATATGTATGTATGTGTGTGTGTGTATGTGTGTGTGTGTGTGTGTGTGTGTGTGTGTGTGTGTGTGTGTGTGTGTGTGTGTGTGTGTGTGTGTGTGTGTGTGTGTGTGTGTGTGTGTGTGTGTGTGTGTGTGTGTGTGTGTGTGTGTGTACTGTAAACTGCCAAATATTCGCGACGGATTAATGTTCGCTATTTCCGCGAGAAGAGCGTAACGCGAATATTAACCATCGTGAAATCTAATTTCAACAGTGTGTGTATGTACGTGGCCCCCGTGCTTCTCGAACTTTTGCCATCGCAAACTCGCTGGTTCTAAGAAATCGCGAAAATTTAGTGACGCGAATAGGGCGGTTTACAGTATGTGTGTGTGTGTGTGTGTGTGTGTCTCTCTCTCTCTCTCTCTCTCTCTCTCTCTCTCTCTCTCTCTCTCTCTCTCTCTCTCTCTCTCTCTCTCTCTCTCTCTCTCTCTCTCTGTCTCTCTGTCTCTCTGTCTCTCTCTCTCTCTCTCTTTCTCTCTCTCTCTCTCTCTCTCTCTCTCTCTCTCTCTCTCTTTCTCTCTCTCTCTCTTTCTCTCTCTCTCTCTTTCTCTCTCTCTCTCTCTCTCTCTCTCTCTCTCTCTCTCTCTCTCTCTCTCTCTCTCTCTCTCTCTCTCTCTCTCTCTCTCTCTCTCTCTCTCTCTCTCTCTCTCTCTCTCTCTCTCTCTCTCTCTCTCTCTCTCTCTCTCTCTCTCTCTCTCTCTCTCTCTCTCTCTCTCTCTCTCTCTCTCTCTCTCTCTCTCTCTCTCTCTCTCTCTCTCTCTCTCTCATACCGTCCATGGGCAACAAACAAGACAAAATATATGGCAGTGGAGTCACATTTGTGTTCAGCGATATATCCAGGTTCAACTGAGATTCGGTCTTTGTTAACAGATGGATTGGTGTAAATGTGTGTTGAATCCTCAGTGCATGCTGCTTTCTAGTATGCCAATCCAACTGCTCTGTAAAGACAGATGGTGTCTTATTGTAGTGGTGTCACTGCAACTGCACAGCATACTGGCTCTCATTCATGAACCATACATATTAGGTGAGGTGCTGGTGTAACATACGGATGAAGAAACGCCAGTCTGGCTACTAGTAACTCCTGCTCGCTGTGAAATCTTATACTGGTGTTACAGGGATGAATTTATTGTTATATTTTTGCATAGCAGTTTCTGCTATACAAAATCACAATTGTGTAGCAATCTCTGATTTTTGATTAGCATTTTTCTTTGAAGGTTGGTTGTTTACCACATTGTCCTTCTGGAGAGTGATGCCGGAAAGCCCATTTGCAAAAAAACCGACTGAATCATACATGTGCACGCAGATTGAGAGTGCCTACACCACATACACTGCACTGTATGCATGTTACTTGACAGCACAGGCTAGGCATGGATAGTCTGTATGTATCGCAGTTTTCTGCGAGTCACGGTGACTTTTGAGTAGCAGCAGATCGATTTTGCATCGCAAACTGCGATGCGATACAGGATAAATTCATCCCTGTGTTAATATATTTTAGTATGAAGTGGGAGCTTGTCAGCATAGACTCTTTGTGTGTTGGTAGTTCGAATGTTGACTTTCTCAGTAGCAGACGTGTTCCCGTGATGTAGCTTGTCGTTAGTTTTATTCCTGTGACTGAACAGTGCATTTGTGCTGTGTCTACTTGCCCTCGTTTTGCAGCTGAAACTGTAGTGTACGATTCCGATCCAGCATGCAGTCTCTTCTTCGGACAAGTGCTGGCACAGAACTACCACATGTAAGTGTGTGAGGGGGTACAGTTATCGCTTATGAATCCAGCACCTTGAAAGCCAGCACCCTCGATGAACCGGCATGGTTTTCAGGGGCCTAAATGTCCCATTCCAGCAGACTTCATCAGAAAATCAGCTTTGTTTATCCACCACTCTGCCTAGTCCAGCAAGATGTCCATCTCACAGATAGGACCACCACACTGCACAGTACCTTCACCGGCCATACTACCTGTTCTGTTCATGATCCTGTGTGATCCAGCCTATTCAATCCCACTTCTTTGACCTTGGCTGTGAGAACCTTTGGCTATAACACACGGATCTGTATGTCCATTGGAGGAGCGTGCACGTTATTGAAGTGGCAACTTCAACACTATTGAAACCAGTTTTCTCTATCTGCAAGACCATCTTACGCTCTGTGTTCTTTCTCTGACCTGCAGACCGTCTGTAGCTTTCAGCACAGTGGCGTTCTGTGTGCAACAGCGCGAGCCTCTCTTCAATAACACCGTGATCCTCAGTCGCTTCTTCCCCAACCTACTCAAGGTACAGTGACTATAGTGCGTTTCAAAAGTCCAGACCTCTGGCTTCAAAAACCGTTAGGCCAGCATCTATACCACATAAAATCTGTGATCACTTTGTGCATAAAATTTTCGAAATTGGGCGTCTGTTATCCAATCGCTTAGAAATTTATATGAGAAAAATTGCGTGAGCTGCCTGAGCAATATTCCGAAGAAATTTCTCAAAAAGCTCAAACCAAATTTGAATTATTCAAAAACGTCTAGAGGTCTATACTTTTCAAACGCACTATAGTGTAGAGTGTGGCTGGTGTTAGTTGTGTGGTGTGAGATGTAGTGGATGTGTTGCTCTACGGTGTATGCTGCTGCAGCCTGGGTAGTGGGTGCAGAGGAGATTGTTATAATTCCAGAGCCCAATTCACATGCACGTGCACGTGCGTGTGTGCGTATGTGTGCGCGCGCACACGTATGTGTGTGTGTGTGTGTGTGTGTGTGTGTGTGTGTGCGCACACGCTCTCTCTCTCTCTCTCTCTCTCTCTCTCTCTCTCTCTCTCTCTCTCTCTCTCTCTCTCTCTCTCTCTCTCTCTCTCTTTACTGCCAATGTCTACGCTAACTTTGTGTGTGCCTGCTTGTGTGTGTGTTTTTTCTAGATCCTTGCCTGGTCACCGCGATCCTACCTGACGGAGTTTGCTCAGCTTGTTCCGTTCCTCGTGCAGCCACGCACTGTGCTTGAGGTATGGTGTGTTCTCTGTATGCGTGTACATCCACTGCCTATCTACTTCATTAGGGTTTAATGTTGTCAGTACATGTACTATATGAAATACCAGTACATGTATCACTTAATGTAGATCTACAGTGCTTCTCAATGAAATCCAGTCCTGTCACTCCAGTTTGCACCTTGCACCTCGTAGTCCAGTGTTCGCATGTCGAGTGCTGCGCAACGCCCGGCATGTACTTGAGTGACACGACTGGATTTCATTGAGCAACACTGTACATCTTTGGCTAGCTTGTTGCCATCGACAGTTCAACACCCACGGATATGGCAGTAAGCCGTTTGGGGAAGTCTTGTGTTATACGGCTCAGAGATATTTTCTTCTGATTGGTGTGCTTGTGATTGTCTGTTGTGTTGATAGCGTCGATGTTGCTCTATTTGCTGCATGTGCTCTGGTTGATGGTGTTCATGTTAAATTGTTAGTGTTTCGTACTGTGCAATGCTGCTGCTGCTGCTGCTGCTGCTGCTGCGTGTACATGTAGGTGCTCCATTCTCTGCTGGACTTGCCTTGCCTGTCGGCCGGTCTGGAGGTGGCCCGCTTTGTCAGTCAGCGTAAGTAACGTTAGTTGAAATGATGTAGTTTAGCGTATACTGATGCCCACGTTCATCCCCTGTAAACGCTAGCGTCGATGTGACGTAAATCTTTACCGGGGTACCCGAATCTGCTGGGATTTGTCTTGCGCATTCGCGTTTAAAAATCTCTTTTTTGACAAATAAGAATGTTGTGACGTGGACAGTGAAGTGCACCTGGGTAGATGTACTAGTACTTGTCGTGTGCACCGGGTGTGACATACACAGTCGCTTGCTGTATGCTAGTACAGTGCTGTCGGGCGCCGAAGAACGGAGCGTCGAAGAACGACCAGGCTAGAATTCCACCAAGCACGGCATACCAATGTACACACAGTGACTCAACTGTGCATAGACTGTAGTACATGAAAATAAGAACGGTCTATGCTAGGAGGCTGTCCCCCCTTCCCCCAGTTCTTTGGCGACCGACAGTACTGACGTGTATGGGCAGATCTCGTCGACATTCAATCATGTTTATGGTTATTGTATGCTCTTCGTTCTTGCCATGTCCAGTGGGTGGCAGTGAAGCAGATGCGAAGAAAGTGTTCAGTGCCTTGCCACAACAGCAGAAGGCTGTTGCAGCGTACTTCAACCCAGTGCACCGGCCACTGTTCAGCTTCTTACTCAGGCCAGAGGGAGGAAAGGGTGACACAATCAGCAGGTATGCATGTACAGGACTATAAGCTCTGCTCAGTGCCGCTGCTGTGCTGCTGCTGGTTCTGCTGCTGCTGCTGCTGCTGCTGCTGCTCTCTCTCTCTCTCTCTCTCTCTCTCCCTCCCTCTCTCTCTCTCTCTCTCTCTCTCTCTCTCTCCCTCTCTCTCTCTCTCTCTCACACACACACACACACACACACACACACACACACACACACACACACACTCACTCTCACTCACTCACTCCGGCATAATAACCATACCGGGTTTGTGGGTTTCCCGCACTTTTACTTCTTGTTTTGTGATACGGAGGTGATATCATGACTGGCTGTGTGTATTTGTGTGTGTGTGTGTGTGTGTACGTGTGTGTGTGTGTGTATGTGTGTGTGTGTTGTTTGAATGGCAGGATGCCGATGTTATACACACTACTCAGTGATCTGGCAGTGCTGCCACGCATCCAGATTTGTGCGCAGATGACACCGCTTCTTGTCGAGTAAGTTCGCCCCATCTGATCATGATTTTTTGTATTTTGTAGCATCAGGAGTCGGCAGCGCTGGCCAGTGAAATGTGTGACCAAGCACACGAAGGTGAATGTTCCAGGCAACCAGCATGAGCTGTGTGGATCAGTCACTTTTAGGTCCTGCCCACTTGTACGACTCTGGCATATCTTTTGAGACATGCAGCAAAACTGTGTGCATGTTTTACCCCAGATAAAGTCTTGATATTCTTTCTCTCTCTCTCTCTCTCACTCTCTCTCACTCGCGCTCTCACTCACGCTCTCTCTCTCTCTCACGCTCTCACTCACGCTCTCCTCTTACGCTCTCTCTCTCTCTCTCTCTCTCTCTCTCTCTCTCTCTCTCTCTCTCTCTCACGCGCGCACACACACGCCACTCTCTTCATTTACAGGCTTGCACTGAAGACGGTGCTAGTTCAACACAACGCACAGATGCTGTCGCAGATTCTGCCACTGATGTCTGAGCGAATTAGCCAGCTATACGGCATAGATTCCTTCCAACAGCAAATCAGAAAGTAAGTCAATTCCACTACGACTGGCTGTTTCTTATCCTGTACACCCATACCAGTGTTGCGGAGGGCTTTTTCCGTCAGGCACTTTTACGTGTTGGGTCCTGATCTTCCTCAGCCTACTCAAACTCAACTGATGAGGGGTGAATTCCCCGAAACACTGTGTATTGAGCAGGGAGTGGTGCTTTCTTGCAGGTTTGCCGAGTCGAAGGTTCGATGGACTTCTCGTGTGCTCTGGATGGTAGTCGTGAGTCAGTCAAGTGTCAAGTCGGCGGAATAGCGCGAGCTCCAGTGTGGGGAGCAAGCCCTTTCTTAGGGTCCTGGTTTTCTGTAGAGATGGCGACTTGTATGCACTGTTTGCACTGGACATGCTTTGCCTCTGGTCACGCATCTTCACTGCTTTACATCTCTCTGGGTCTGTGTATGTGTGCGTGCGTGCGTGTGTGTGTGTGTGTGTGTGTGTGTGTGTGTGTGTGTGTGTGTGTGTGTGTGTGTGTGTGTGTGTGTGTGTGTGTGTGTGTGTGTGTGTGTGTGTGTGCCCCTGTCCTACCCGTAGGGTACTGGCAAACCAGCTGTTGTCCTTCTTCAAAGTTCATCCTCAGTTGCTGTTTGATCACATGGCAGACATTATTGAGTTTCTGTCAGCCCTGCGCAACATTAGCAGAGCAGGCGAGGAGTACTTCTCCCACATGGTGAGTAGTTCAGCTGCCAGTAGAACCCATTTGCCTTTGGGCCAGCTGATGCTAGTGTTGCGCTAGTGCATGCACGTGTGTGTTCTTGTGTGTGTCTATGTGTGTATGTGTGTGCGTCTGTGTGTACCGTATACAGTAGCACACAGCGCATCATATCATAACAAATTATGGCAAGGTGCCTCATACATCAGGGCAGGTACCATTTACCTGAGCTAATCCAACGCACCTACGCATGCATGGCCTATAGCAAGCTCAACAACAGGTCAAAGTGGTCAGTGCGGGTACTGACTGGCCGGCACAGCAGACCCTTACCACGCACATGGTCCAGCGGAAGAAAATCAATTCCTCTCTACGCGGAGTTTCTTGTTGCTACGAAATCATCAGAAGGCTGGAGTGGACTGATTTTCTTCCACTGGTCCCTGTGAGTGTGGCCTTTGCACACACACACACACACACACACCCTCTATGTATCTGTGTATGCAACTATGTGTGCTTTGCTTGCGGTGCTATTTTAAAACAAAAATCCGTTGCATTCCTGTCGTGATGTTGACAGGTATGGGTGGTTGGAGAGTACTCATCACCAATCCATGACTCTCGCTTTACCATCGAAATCATCACCAAACTCCACGATGTAAGTTCTTTTAATATTTGCAATTTTGCAGCTCTCTCTCCCTCTCTCTCTCTCACTCACTTTCTCTCTCTCTCTCTCTCATCTATCTATCTATCTATCTATCTTCGCTCCTGCTCTTGTAGCAGTTGAGCACTCTTGCGTGGGGTAGTGCCTTTGCTGTTTGCGTTATGCAGAGCTCACTGACTTGTCAGTTTGAGCACTCTGGCAAGGTACGTTCGGGCCTGATTGGAAATTTTTATTTCCATTGCTATCAGGTTCGGCCTCATTTCCTCTGTGCTGCGCTGATGAGTTCAAAAAGAACGAAACAGCATGCTGTCCGCAGATTGAGTATCTATCTATCTATCTATCTTTCTCATCCATGCTCCAAGTTCTGCTGCATCTCTTTTTGCATGTACATTGCACAGCTAAGCAAGGCTTCCTTGTCACCAGTATTCTGTACATGTGTTGTCCACGCGCGACCCATGTGCTGTCCATGGGCGGTAGTACATGTGCATCCGCTTGTGTGTGTGTGTGGGGGGGGGGGGGGGGTGTGCATGTGTGTGTGTGCGTGTGTGTGTGTCTGTGTCTGTGTGTCTGTGTATGTGTGTGTGTATGGGGGGGGGGGGGGTCTGTGTAGCGGGAGGGGGCAGATGGTAGTGAGTGGCACGCAATCACTTTATTTACACGTGAAGAGCTGAAAGGCATTTACTAGATGAAGTGGACTGCACAGATAGGTCTAAGTCCAGGAGCTTTAGAATCAGGATGTGGACTCTCACAGTTGTTGTTTTGTGTTCAGGATATGCTGCTCTGAATTCGTAACTTGACCCCCTGATAGTCGTGATTTTGTTGGTAGTAACTTGGTTTGCAATGTATTTGTGCTTGTCCTGTACTTACACGTATGTGTGCATGTACATGTGTGCACATACGCACGTGTGTGTGTGTGTGTGTGTGTGTGTGTGTGTGTGTGTGTGCGCGCGCGGTTTTCAACCCTAGGTCCTGGAGTCAATGGCCTATGAAGCAATTTCAGCATTCCAAGCATCTAGATCCAAACCGGTGAGTTGAGAATGCACATACTGTACTATACAGTCAACTGTGCGTATAACGACACTCGGCGGCATCAGAAAAGCGTCCTTATTCGCGAAGTGTCGTTATAGCCGAAGTCCCATTATATGTATTACTGTTGGATGTGACTTTGCTCTGGGCATAGAAATTCTGTCGTTATTCGCGAATTGTCGTTATATCCGCAGTCGTTATTAGCGAAGTTGACTGTATGCCCAATGCCGTAGACAGCAAGCTGTTTCGGCCGTAACGGCCTCATCAGTACTATACAGCCACGAGCTTTAAGTTGGCCGAGCTATCAGCCATGGTGCGAAGGAGGCACCACAGACATTAAGGTAGCTCGTCGCTCCAGCGCCAGAGTGCTCTAACTACGAAAAGTAGCGGGCAATGCAGGACTGTACTACTTGTATATGCTGTACCTTTGTTCAGGCTTTGTCCCAGGCTTTACCCCGGGTTTTACCCCGGGTTTTACCCCAGGCTTTACCCCATGATCATGCTGAGAGGTTTAGTGTACAAAAGTGTGCCTTACATTCGGTAATACCGTGCTGTAAAATGGCTAATTTTGGCGGTGGTGAGATTTTAGCGAATTCAGCTAAGGGGCCATCCGTAATTATCGATCTTTTACACGTACACGAAACGAAAAAGTTTCGCTTATGGGTGGGTGGGTCAAGGAGAGTTTCGTTTTGAAATAATTATAATTATTGATAGCGTGAACATTGATCCATGCTCACTGTCAAGTCAATCTATTTTACGTTCAGCGGGGTGGGAGGGTGGAGGAGGGTTGTAACTAAACTTTTTCGTTCCGTGAAAATTATCGATGATGCCGGATGGCCCCATAAAGGGGTGCATTCGCTAGTTTAGACTAGTCTATCGAAAGTTTGCGTTCTGCCTAGCATAATCATCACGATATGGATGTACTTTTTCTATCCTGTGAAACGCTGATCGCTAGGGCGAGGCCAAAGAAAAATCGAGGTTCCCGGGCCCGCGCGCACCAGAATCGAGCCGAAGTCAATTTTTTTGAACAGTGCGTGTTCCAGTACAGTGCTGATATCGTGTGAATAAATAATGGGAGGGAGTCACGCAAACCCGGGCTTGTACGACTGATGTACCACTTGTGCTCATAGAGCTTGTAGCACTGGTGCTGTTTGCATGCACAGATGTAGCCAGAAGATCTACATGTACGCTGTAGGGCCGTTGCTGGCCAAAATTAAAGTGTACGGGTATAAAACCGTGTGAATTTTCATTTAAAAAAATAATAATTATCCGAAACTACATGAAGGGCTCCCACTCAAAACGAAATAAATCCATTTTGTGGAAATTTCAGGAAGTGCCTTTTTCATTTTTTCTTTTTCGGTCTGCACTGCAGCATCAGTGAGACTTTTATCGCGCTTTGCAGAAGACTGTGACACAAACTTCAGGCATTATTTCGACTGGGATGCATCGCGTTTCGACCCGTAAAACCGACACGCAGACATCCGTGGGGTGGAAACTAATTTTTTCGTGACAAAAAAACACGCAAAAGCTCCGGTTTGGTCTTTATCGCGTTTTGAATTGGAGCCCTTCACATGTACTGTAAAAAAATTCAGCACGCAATGCATCCATGGAAAGTAAAAAGTATTTGAAGTAAAAAATTAAAAATTCGCCCGCCCTCTCCAATTCCACATGGAATTAACCGCTTCACATGATGGTGAAAGTGCGAATGCAGGCTTCCCGGGAATCATTGGCCGCAAAATATGTCGGCAACGTCGACGACAATGTTGCCGTGGAAACGGAAAATAAATGAAAGAATATAATTATTGTGTATTAGCATGTGGCCTCTAATTTCTTGTATCAGAAACAATATCATGGTTGCTATGGAAACTAAGGAAGAGAAATCCACAACACACACACAACTCATCGGACTGCTTCATACATGTATGGATTACATCCTGAAAACCCTTGTACTCAAACGAGTTGAAGAATGCACACGATGGTCGCTTCTCGCGCACTGCGCGCTGAAGTTCCACTAAGATCTCGTGGACAGTTTTGCCTGGATACGTCTAGCCTTTCTGGTCCCTGACCTCCAATACGAGTCGCTGGATTAGCCAAACCAGCTCAATATCACCAACCTCCCAATTGGATAAGTATCAATTCGACCTTTCCGCCACTCATCCCATATAGTTACAGCCCATTTCATCTTTCTCCTGGTGTTCAGACGCTTCGGCCTCATCCGAAACTTCGCTGTCCGTGACCCTGACAAATCGGGACAATGTGAGACCAAGGTCACAGGTGGAGTACTCACACTCAGTTTTAGAGCTTGCAGTTGCGGGTGGCTCGTCCATATCGGCGCCTAGTATCTCTTCCGCGTCAGCCAACATGCTTTGTTCCTCCACCATGGAGCCACAGAGGTCATCGAAAGATGAATCGGTCTGCCAGTGGAAATAATGGCTGGAAAGCTGAGCAAGAGCTCCTCGTGTGCTGATGCAGTCAAGCATCAGTCGGCCGCTAGACACTGGCAGTAGCTTTCTTCTCGAGCTAAACTGGCAAAGCCTGCACGGTCACGTCCACAGAATAACTAGTAGTAAATTAAAGGAACAAACTGCGAATGCTACATCAGCACATGGTGGCGGGTGAAGTGAAGCTGAAGCTGTGAAAGCAAAGCGTTGTCTTCTTGGTCCAGAAGGCGGGAGAATCATGTCAGGTTGAACGATTAGGCGCTATATTGCATACGTAGCGCTAACTATACTGAAAACTGTGTGACATGCAAGGCGGACTGAATCGTGATGGATGACCCTGACTAACCAGTCTATAGACCATGTAGAATACTCTAATTTCAGAAATTTTAGGTGCTCAATATGTTCGATGTGAGGGCAAAAGGCCAGGTAAGGTGAACAGAAAATTTAGGTGCAGAGAAGCAGTTCGCTATTGGATTCTGTGTGTTAGTACTTGTATTTGTTAGGTGTATTGAACTTTTAGGTGTGAAACAGACGCACCGAAAGTACCGAAAATAAAATTACACCGAAAAATTGTGAAATCACAGTATTGCACGGATTGGTCCCCGAGAGAATATTTTCCACAATCCCCGCACCGTGGGCGTAACGAAAAATGTTCTCCTCGGATCTGCGCACTATTCTATGCCTAGAGGCGATGAAAGCATTCCTCTGCTGTAATTCTAGCACATGTACAGTATAACCTCTTTAGGATGAACAGTTCAACACTACTTTTTGTAAGGGCGCGTTTGGTTGGTACGACCTAGAACAGGATTCACCAGAACAGCGCATTTGGTTGGGACTGCACCTGTTCTGGGTATAGTAGGCCAGAACATGTTCTGCTTGCTCCGGCCTCGAGGCCGGAGCAGACCGAGCAGTTTCACTTTGTTCACAGTGAAACCTGGCGGGAACATCGATTTTGGTCCCAAATGATCACGTGCATACGCTTTTGGGTTGGATTCGTAGTACTGTACCATACAAAGTGACCATGGTGACCCATACACATTTTGAAGAATGCACCAAGTTTGGCACATTTTTCACCAAAATGTGCTCTGTTTCTGGAGTACTGTTTGTTTGGCATGAGGCTGCTCCATGTGCACCAGCTGTTCGATCCTGTTCTAGATCGCACCAACCAAACGCACCCTAAAGGACCGATAGTATTTGTTTGCAATAACGGGAGTTCTTCTAATCCATACTTTGTGCCCAGTGGGTACACAATGATTTATCCAATAGAATAATAAGAACTCAGCTGGTGAGCCAAGGAAAAATATTTGTAACATGGAAATTGTGGGCACAAGTTATGCGATCGAGTCCACCAACTAAACCAGATTTAGAACAGTACTCTTTGTCAGTTTTGTGCTAGATTGTGCACGTCTGACTGTTCTAAATCTGGTTTAGTTGGTGGACTCGATCGCATAACTTGTGCCCACAATTTCCATGTTACAAAATTATGATACTAGTTTTTCTAAAAGTTCTTCAAAAAGTGAAAATTTGTTTTCTCAGTGTTCTTTGTAACGAAGCTTCACTGTAGTGCACTGAAAACGGTGTACAGTCAGACCTCACTTAACCGCACACATCCGTCTTCCACAAAAAAATATCCGGATAGGCGAGGGAACCGGATAATCGAACACACATACTGTACGTATGCATGGCGTATGCTGTAAATCGGTGACTAGCGATTTTCTCCCGGTTGGCGAGGATCCGGATAAAAGAGGCCCACTGGAGCAGCGCGGTCTGACCGTAGCTGTACTGTTAGTGTACTGTCGTGGACATGGAAATCCGGTCGCACATCTGGCGGCCCCAGGGCGCTGGCCATGCAGCCGTGGATAAGCGCTGGTCGCATCGGATCAACACTGCACCCAGCGTTCCGTACGCGCGCTGAGGGCGCCGGCCCCGGTCAATCGACTGGATTTCCATGTCCACGACAGTAGCACTGTACATGTACATGTACACAGTCTTCACCGTGTGTGTGTCACTTTCACCCTGCTTTGTTGTGTGCTGTTGTGCAGGTGGCTAGTGCTAGACTGCTCTGTGTGCTGATGACGGCTCTTGCTAAGGTATGGCCGGGGTGGCACTCTGCATGACGAATGGAAGGAGAGAAAAAAAACAGGCAGTTCCATTACTGCATGGGGCTCTACAATTGAGTTTTGGCTGGGGAAGGAAAGTTGTACGATTCCCCTTGTGATGAAGTTGGATGATGTCCGGGTCCTGCCCCAGCCTTCCTACCCAGTGGGACTACATGTATCACAGCGGCCCTAAACTACTCCTCATTGAACCCTCTGCCAAGCAACTGCAAGTCCAGGGGATGGACTAGAGTTTGGTGTTTGCCATAAATTCAGCAAAGACTGCTGTACGCGAGGATGTAAAGGAATCAAGTAGACAGTTGAACACTGTAAAATATCTACGACTAAAACACTGAAACCCGTTTTTCATCCTCTTATTATTGTTTGAACTAGCCCTGCCTTTCAGTATTGAGCACTCTATTCGACAGCCTGGAACCTCTCTGTTTTAATATCTACTACTTGGAGTCATGTTGCTGGTGTGAATGAGGTTGACCAAAGAGCGCATGTGGTTGAGGTGGAATTACTTCATTACTTGAACAGTATCATTATGTAGTGCACATCACTGGATCACCAGCTCCTTGTGAACAATCTGCAGTGTGCTTTTTCTGATCTTGTTGCCACGATTAGAGACTAAAGAGGAGTCCGTCTTCTGTACGCCTGTATGTGTGCGTGTGCATGTGTGTGTGTGTGTGTGTGTGTGTTCACGTGTGTGTGTGTATGTGTGTGTGTGTGTGTGTGTGTGTGCATGTGCACGTGTGTGTGTGTGTTCACATGTGTGTGTGTGTGTGTGTTCACGTGTGTGTATGTGTCATACCTCTCATCCTCTCCTCTGCTCGTAGATTGCGTCGCGCTGTCAGGACCTGATCCCCCGTGTTCTGCTGTGCCTGACCAAGATTGTCAAGCAATACGCTGTGAGTACACACCTAACAACACACAAGCCACAAGTTATACCCACTGCATGGTGGGGGGGGGGGGGCACATTAGAGCACGCACTTCCTCGGCAAACTAGAACCTAGCAGCACATTTTCTGCTGAAAGAGCCAAGTTAAATACAGGAGGGTGTACGATGGAGGGGTAGGGAAAGGGGGGGGGGGGGGGAGGGCACATAGGTGGCTGGGGGCAAGCTCTCTAAAGAACTACATTTGTAGAATCTGAATGTAATAAATAATAGTAGTAACTCACTCGGTCACTAAACACTACAAAGCAAACGCTCTCTTCTGGACTAACCAAGTTCTGGGGGGGGGGGGGGGGGACCCTTCCTCGTTGTTGGCCAGCTTCGTCTGTTCATAATACTGCAATGTAGGGACTCTTGTTCGGCTCCCTGCTGTAGTTGGGGTACGGTATCACTGTAAGAGTTAGATTAAGGGTGTGTAGTTAGATGGCGAAAGAAAAGTGTTCCTTTTAAAGGTGTATACTATACAGTAAAATCTGGTGTAAGCGACCACCCCACAGTGCAAGGAAAAGCGGTCGTTAACCCTTTACCATCCGTGCGTACTTGAATCGATACACTAAAACATTCGTAACTCGATCGATTCTTGTCGGAATGTAAAGAACTAAATATCTAGGAAGAAGCCGAAGAACCCAGCTTTCCATTGCATCAATCGGTAAAGAGCTGTGATGTCGCATTCCAATGATATTTTACTCGACATTTCAGCTACGACAAAAGTCGAATTTCTTTCCGAGTGACTGACCTTGAGCGGGGATTTTCCCCTCTCCTGACGTGCTGAGTCACTTTGGCATGCTTTGAGCGCGTGGGCAGCATGAAAAGGAACTCAAGCAAAAAAAAATTGGAATGTTTACGATGAAGGAGCGAGAAATGGCTGGCGAGGAGAGAATTTCCTCGTATATCCAGCGATGGGGTGTATTTGAAGCTCCCTGGCGCTTGATATGTGGTCTTGGTAGTGTCCTGTTTGAGCTCAATGTACGCAGCTCGTGGAGAGCTTTCCAGAATGCCCAAGATTGTGAAAAATGGTTGATTAGAACCGAAGATATTCTCAGAATGAGGTGAGAATTATTGCATTTGGGACTGCCGGGGAATTTTGGTCGGATGGTAAAGGGTTAAAGTCAGGTGGTCTTTAGAACCAGGTCCCACAGTGTCTGTGTAGAACTGTCCGTGCATGGAAAAACGGTCGTTAGGAGCAGGTGGTCGCTAAAACGAGAGGTCGCTTACACCAGGTTTTACTGTACAGTCTGTATCGGCTATAGAGTGACCGGATAAAAGAATATATCGGCTACAGTGATATTGGTACGAAATATCAAAAGCAAAAACGTATTTTATCCAGTAAAAATATCACTACAACCAATATTATCGGATGTAATGATATATCGGATATTATGATGGCAGCGAAGAATCAAAACATGCATAACACACTATATTATTATCGGCTATAGTGATAACTATAAAATGCATGTAGCAATAATATCAAAGGCCCTATTTTTTTACTTTCTTCAGTGAGTCTTCACGTTGCTTATTTTTTATAGTGATACATGTACAGTCATGTACATAACAGAATTTTTTTATGGAAATGCGGGCACTGTCAACTATGCAGCATGCTCATTTGTCAAAACGCCATGCTGGAAGTATTTCCTTGCCTTTCATGTGTCGATCGAAATAAAAATAAAAAAATCGATCGTATCGCATATAGTGATGCACCGGATATAGTGATAACATCACGGAAATCAAAAGGGTACGCTATAGCCGATACAGACTGTACTAGTAATTTGTAGAGTACATGATACGGTTTTTTCCGGAGTGTAAGCTGTACTTTCTAAAACACCAGTAATCCACTCACTATTTAAAAGGCTAATACTGTAAAAGCAGAAATTTTCGGTGGTGTTTTATTTTCGGTAACTTCGGTGCCGAAATTTTTACCGAAAATAAAACGCACCGAAAATGTCGGTATAGTACTAGTACACTTACCTGGAACGCGGGTTTACCGAAAATTTCCCTCGGCCGAACCGCCGATTTTGGAGAATACCGAAAATATTACACCACCGAAAATTTCTGCTTTTACAGTACTACGATGGTTAAAGTAACGCTGATAAATAATGTAGATGTCTGTATTTCGTGACGAAAAAATCTAGGTGCGGCTTATACTCCGGAGAATACGGCAGGCTGCTCGCGATACATGAATAATCCATTGTGGTTATGTACTCTTGATTTTAGGGATCACCATACAGGGCATGCAGAACGAGAGCAAATTATGATAAAATGAGATTCGCAGGCCAAAGGGAATAGGAGAAACGGTCTCCAGGCCTATTCCCGTCACACCTATCTAAATACAGTCAAACCTCGTTAGGACGAACACTGATAAGGCGAACTTTCCATTAGTACGAACTAAGGCCAATCCTATGGTTGGCCAGGCATCAATTCAAGTCAAAATTATTCGTTTACGACGAACTTCTGTACAGCGAACTTTCACGAAGACGAATTTTTTTCAAGTGTGATTTGAACAAAGTCAGTGTGGTCATGTACATTGTAGTACGAACTTTCGGTCCACGAGCGTGCGCGTGCGCTGGCTGCCTTTTTTCTTCTTTTTTTCA